TTAAATAAACAACAAAATTTAAAATAAATGAGTAATTGATAATTCCATCAATGCAACTAGATGGCGTCACCAACAAATTCACTTATTTTCCTTGCTGAAAATGGTTTATTTATTTACAAATTTCAGCAAGTTGTTATAATAAAACAAAATATTGTAAATTGTATTTTGTTTTCTATGTATCTGTCAAAATTTAATTTGTTTAATGACAATACAATGGTTGCTATGGAAAAAATAATGAAATTCTGTAGTAAAATTGTACAGAGAAAAAAACTTTAATATTTGTGATAAAAGAAAATTTGTTGAAATTGAATCAAATGTATAGGAAATAATAGAATTATCAAAGCTTTCAACATTTCAAATAGATGGCGCCAAAACAAAATTCAATCGATAATCAAAAAAAATCTATATTAAATGATGATTTATTAAATAAACAACAAAATTTAAAATAAATGAGTAATTTATAATAGCTTCCATCAATGCAACTAGATGGCGCCACCAACAAATTCACTTATTTTCCTTGTAAACCTTGGTGAAAATGGTTTATTTATTCACAAATTTCAGCAAGTTGTTATAATAAAACAAAAAATTGATGCTATGGTGAATATTAATTTCAGGTTTCGAAATTAACATGTTGGGAAATTTTAATTGGAATCGAAATAATGACATCTGATTTAACGGCGTTCCGGGCGCGCATCCATCAAAATCCATTATTCACCTGACCATAAACACGCATACAAAAACCTTGACCACATATACATAAAATATTGGATTTTACTAGTGCGAAATCGTGAAATAAATAAAATTTCAGCATGAAATATACATTTTTAAACAATTCAATTACAATCCATTTAACTAACAACAAATCTAGTGTGTTTTAATAATAATTCCTTTTGTTTTTGGTACGTGAAAATCGAATTGGTATTGATAATAACAAATGCGAGTGCATAGCAACGCTGTCACAAAAAAAATGAAATAAGTATACGTAATCTGTAAAGCTTCAAATCGAACGCGGAAAAACGTTTTGTTAATTAAACCGCGATAAACAGTTGAAATTCCCGCGATCGGAGAAGGCTCAGGCACAGTTAAATATATTATCACTCCTACGCGACTCCGCTTAGGAAAGTAGGTCGAAAACGTAGTCATTTTCCTCTTGTATCACTGCGTGCCGCACACGTTAATTGCACAGGTAAATATTTTACCCGGGACCGATGAAAAAAATAAAAAATAGTGCGACAAGTGTCTACCAGATGGAGCTGCAGTCGAATTGACGTAATTCGCTTATACACCTGTCAAAATTGCACGCTTGACTGCGTGTTTAAGCATAGTGCATGTAACGTGCAATTCGTTGATGAAAAATAGTAATAAATAATTATAATAACCTATATTATTTATAATTGTATTGAATTTAGTGTAATATATCGTTACTATTGACAAGAGAATGTGGAAAATGCAAAATATGCTTCTGAAAATCATTGACAGATGGCGGCACCAATTAATTCAATTGATTGAAGTTTATAGAATGTCCTGATTACGTATATCTACGTTTTGTGTGATAAAATAATGTCATCCGATGTAAAACTGAGGCATTAACAAAAGGATACAAGTTATAAAAACAGAATTATCAGAAGAACGAAAGCAGAGCAGAGTATATTTATGATAACTCGTAATTATCATCTGGCCGTCCTGGAGGGAAAACCGGCGTTTCTCTTTGAATTACTACAATCTTGCCCTCACGTAAATCACGAAACTTCTTCTTTTTTATTTCATTTTTTTTAATCTCTCCACGGTAATCGTACGGCCGCTGGAATTATTTGTAGATTTATATAACTAAAAAAATGAAATGAAATGAAATGCAAGTGGGATGCTTTAAATCGCAATGCAGATTTTCGTATTCTCTCTCACACTCTTTCTCTCGTATTCTTCATCCTATTCCAATGCAAAACCACCCTTCCCGTTACGCTCCTTAATCGTAAATTTTGCCACACACTCGTGTGATTTATACTCTCGGCCCGCGCATTTAATCTTAATTCCGTCGACGCCCCGGCCTCGCAATTATTTATAAATTTGTCATGACAAATGTTTCTGTTGTTACCAGAATTATTTTCTTTTTCTTGTTGTTTTCGAAATGTTTTTGTTTCCCCTCGTAGCAAACACGTCCAGCCTCGTTCTTTCATTCTTTACAAACCCAACAACATCAATTTTCGTTCATTACTGTTGTTTTAGCCGTTTGGCTGTAATTCGTGTTCAAAGTTTAAAAAATGCTCGAAAAAGCAGTGTTTCTACATTTCATTGATTTACTCGAAAACTATAATAC